GACAAGATCCAACATCCATTTATGATAAACACTCTCCAAAAATTGGGAATAAACAGAACCTATCTAAATAGAAAAGCCATATATGACAAACTCACAGCCAACACCATATTCAATGGTGAAATAAGACAGGGATGTCCACTATCACCATTGCTATTCAACATAGTTTTAGAAGTCCTAGCTTAGGGAAGATAAAGACAGAAGGAATCCCAATTGCAAAAGAAGTAAAATTTACATTATTTGCAGGTGACAAGCTAATATACTTAGAGAAACCAAAGGATTCTACAAAAGACTTCTAGAAATAATAAATGAGTATAGTCAAGAGGCAGGATACAAAATCAATACCAAAAATTGGTGGAATTTCTAAATGCAAACAATGTATCAGAAGAAAGAAAATAAGGAATACAGTTCTATTCACAATTATGTCTAAAAGAATGAATTACCTGGGAATAAACTTAACAAAGGAGATAAAGGACCTGCACAACAAAAACCATAAATCTCTGTTAAAGAAAATAAAAGAAGACACAAAGAAATGGAAAGATGGTCCATGCTCATGGATTGGAAGAATTAACATCATTAAAATGGCCACATTACCCAAAGCAATTTACAGATTTAATGGACTACTTATCAAAATACCAATGACTTTTTTAAGGAAATAGAATAATTACCAAATTTGTATGGAGCCATAAAAGGCCCCAAATAGTTAAATCAATCTGGAGAGAAAAGAGGAAAATTGGAGATATCACACTTCCTGACTTCAAACAACATTACACAGCAAAAGTAATGAAACCACTATGGTACTGGAACAAAAACAGAAACTCAGACCAATGGAACAGACTGGAAGCCCAGAGACAAACACATATAAATAGGGACAGTTGATCTTTGATCAAGGAGTTATGGTCATACAATGGAGAAACGATAGCTTTTTAAATAAATGGTGCTGGGAAACATGGATAGCCACATGCAAAAAAATCAATAAAGCAAGACCCATATTTAACTCCATGCAAAAAATTAATTGAAGGGCCTCCCCTGGTGGCGCAGGCAGTTGATCACAGCGCTGTGAAGCTGTACTCAGACTCTGTAGCGCCGGTTCGATCCCGGCCAGCTGGCAAGAATCCCACATGGCACAGCAGAACTCTCCTGTCTAGCCCCCTGCTCCCCTCCGCAGTGTATTTCATCAGTCTGCCTATTCTGTTACCACTTTGTCTCTGGTGGATCCTCTCACCCTCCTGCACATCTGGCCTGTAGCCTGGTTCTTGTATGCATAAATAAATAAATAAATTTTAAAAAATTAATTGAAAATGGAATAAAGAGGGCCTCCCTGGTGGCGCAAGGGGTTAAGATGCAACCCATGAAGTTTCCGCAGCCTCTGTAGCATGACTTCGATCCCCCGGCTGGCCAGGAAGCAATCCACATGGTGCAGCAGACCTCTCCTGACTCGCCCGCTGCTCCCCTCAGCAGTGTACTTCAGTCAATCTGCCTGTTCTGTTCCCCACTCTGTCTCTCACCGCCCCCCCCCACCTCTGGCCTGTACCCCAACTCTTGTATGCATAAATAAATAAATCTTTATTTAAAAAAATGGAATAAAGATTTAGACATAAAAAAATGAAAACATAAAGTATCTGAAATAAAGTATAGGGGACACATGACAGGACATCTACCACAAAGATGTTTTGGGGGACTAAATTTCAACAGCTGGGGAAACAAAAACACAAATAAACAAGTGGGACTGAATCAAACTTATAAGTTTTTATACCTATGGAAAACAATATGGGGATTTCTCAAGAAAATAAAGATGGAAATTCTATATGACTCAGCACATTTATTAGGTATTTATCCAAAACCATGAAAACTAATATGAAAAGATTTATCTACATCTATGTACATAGCAGCACTGTTCACGACTGTCAAGTTATGGACCCAATCCAAGTGCCCTTCAACAGATGAATAGTTAGAGAAACTGTGGCGCATATACTCAATGGAATATTACAGAGCTGTGATAAAAAGATGAAACAGGGCATTTGGAACAAAATGGATGGATCTTGATGTGATTATGCTGAGTAAAATCATTCAAAAAGTAAAAGATAGATTTTAAATGGTTTCACTCATCTATGGTGTAAACATTGAAAAAACAATTATACACAAACAAAAGACAACTAAAAGTTGAATTCAGCAAAAAGAGGATAACAATTACCTGAGGGAATGGGGGAAAGGCTGGAGGGGGTGAGGGAGGGAGGCAGATTGGGGTATGGGCATGGGTGGTTTGGTGAAGGAAAAAAGAAAGAATGGAGAGTCGCAATATGGGAAAAACTGTGTCTAAAATTTTTATAGAAAAATTAGGGGAGGGCCTCCCCGGTGGCGCAGCGGTTGAGCGCTGGGTTGCGAAGCTGCCCGCGGCCTCTGTGGCGCCGGTTCGATCCCCGGCTGCTCCCTGGCCACCGGAGGAGGGTCCCACATGGCGCGCAGACCTCTCCTGCCGCCCGCTGCTCCCCTCAGCAGTGTACTTCAGTCCTTCTGCCTGCTCTGCTCCCCACTCTGGCTCTGGTGAATTCTTTCACCCTCCTGCGCTTCTGACTGTACCCAGTGCATGTATAAACAAAACAAACAAACAAATAAATAAATAAATAAAATGCCTCTATTAAAAAAAAAAAAAAGAAAAATTAGGGGAGAAAATTATAAGGAAAGTAATGTTTTATGGTCACAGTGACAAAGGAGGAAAAAAAGTAATGATCTTGGAAGTCCTAGGAGGTGCTGGCTAGGATGGAGTGGTTGGTTTCACAGATTCCAAGGCATCTCTCTCCTTTTCTCAAAAATGAACAAGTACTACTTTCTGGTTGCTCAGAGATGTGCCCCTCCTTTGTGGTATCTCAACTGTTTCTTGGAAAACATGTGGAATCTGTCAGCATTATATGTCACAGTGATTCAACCAGGACACAGGGAACAGCACAAGGCTCCAAGATTTTATAGTAAAGGAAGTACAAAACCATGTGGACATGATTTAAAAAGTACTCAGTATTTCAGTTCCTACAAAGAGTGCTTGCAACATTCATGAAAACACAACATTTCTAAAAAGGACAGCCAAAGAGAAAATGCCATTAATCTTAGGAAATTTTAACCTTTTACAACAATAACATCAATTAGGGAAGAGGGCAATTTGTAATTGACTCTTTTATTTCTTTGGAGAGTGAGGTGTGGTCTTACTGTCACATAAAAATTCTGTTCCCTAATACTTTGACCTTCCTGTCATGAGTAACATGGTATCCACATTATGATGATGCCATCTCTGTGGCCAATAACCTAATCACCAAATCCAACCAAATGTGGCACTTCTACAAGTTCCTGAGGAATGCTCTGCTGCTTCCACTTCCATATCATTAACTTCCCAGACTCGCACTGGTCCTATTTTGTCATTTTTTTTGCTCTCTGACTCCCTTGAAATTTTGGCAGGAAAGCCTACTATCAAAATCCTTAGGCTTCCCTTCACTCTGCTTAATCTCTACCAGAGAACACATCTAATTCTGAAACCTCATATACAACAGTGATGATTCTGCCCTTAGGGGACATTTGGCAATGTCTATAGATATTTCTGGTTCTCACAATTCAAGGGTGATGTGCTATTAGCATTTAGTGGGCAGAGACCAGGAATGCCCAGGACAAACCACAGCAACAAAGAATTATTTCAAATGGCCCCCCTGAAACATCTCAAATGGCCCAATATGTCAATAGTGCCACTGTTTAGAAATCTTGATGTACTTGGATGACCTCAATTCATTCCTTCCTTTAGCTGACAAAGGTTATGACTTGCATGCCCAAGGTTAATGAGTAAGGAAATGGGTGCAAAGGGGAACTGCAGGTGCTGGCATCAACCGGAGAGGCATTCTGCCCTGAATGAAAAGAGTACTACTTGGTGGAAATGAGCAAAGCCTCAGTCTAACACAAATCAATATTCTAACCTCATTTGTGATAGTTCCACATTTATATGTTCCAAATCAAATACTTTACTACGCTCCCTTCTACCCACCCCCATAACCATCTAACGTGTTCCTCTTCTTATACGCTATAATTTCTATCATATCATCCTAGATAAACATCAAAGTCTAGGACATCAGAAGTGTTGGTACATTTAAAATTCTTTCCCTTGCCTAACTCTGAATTAAAGGCCAGATCCTAGTGAATTCTCCCCACCCACTATGCCAACCACTTTTTCCCCACTGCCACAAGCTCAAGAAAACTTTTGGAGTCTAGTGCTTTGTAATACATTTACATTTTTCAGTGTTTTTGATTATTACTGGTATTTTTAAAGCAAAAAACTACACAGTTGAAGGGTATGGGAGTACTGGAAAGAGCATGTGCTTTGGGGTCAAAACACAATTTGAAATCTTAACTCGATTTATTAACTTAGTCACCTCTGAGCAACTTACTTTTGTAAGTTGTGAGCCCCAATTTCTCTGGCAAAACAAACCCACCTAAATGACAAGTTTGTGTATAAAGATAAAGGAACCTAAAGTATCACAAGTTTTCACTACATGGTAGCCATTATGATATTATAACTGTGTCTAATCTATACATATCTCAAATGCTATAGATATTAAATTTGAATTAGACTAAAAATATTAAACCATAATCATAATAATGTATTTCTGATCTTTATTAGGTTTCTCTGAATTGTTTTAGGTATAAACTACTTTTTTTAAGCTTTACTTTATGCTTAGTTGAAAAAATAACTCACACCAAAAGAAAGAATGGAGAATTTTAAAGATGGTGATAGTCTAGACAGGCTTACTCTAATCCCTCTTAACCAAGCAAAACTGTTCTTAATTGACAAAGTTAAAACTCCCACACACATATTTCACAACATATATTTACTGTGTATAAACCCAGCAATAAGGGGACAGGGGAGGGATAAAAAAAATAACACCAGTAATAGAGAGTGGGTGGGAGAATAAATAAATAAATAAACAAATAAACCCAGTAATAGAGTGCTTATTACACAATGTACTTACTTGTTCCACGTAATGAAAGTTGCTCTCTGTGTAGAAATGCCAAGACCAACAATCTGATTCATCTCTATTCCTGCAGCTACAAATAGACACAGATAAACATAGGTTTAAAAGTCAGTAAAAATAAATAAATAAATAAAAGTAAGTAAAGGGGTCTCCCTGGTGGCATAGGTAGTTGAGTGCAGCGCTGTGAAGCTGTCCGCAGCCTCTGCAGCACGAGTTTGATCCCTGGCCAGCCAGGGAGCAACCCGCATGGCGCAGCAGACCTCTCCTGTCTTGCCGGCTGCTCCCCTCAGCAGTGTATTTCAGTCATTCTGCCTGTTCTGTTCCCTGCTCTGTCTCTGGTGAATCCTCTCACCCTCCCACACATCTGGCCTATACCCCTGTTCTTGTACAAATAAAATAAATCTCAAAAATAAATAAATAAATAAATAAATAGAAGTCAGTGAAGTTGTCTTCACAGTATTATGATACAGGAAAGAAACTTTTCAATATAATCTTTACCAAAAAATTCTCAGTTTAGCATTTAGTCATAAAATTGGAGCCAATACTAAGATATTGTTATTACAATGTTATTACGATATTGTTATTACTAAGATAAGTTATTACGATGACTTTTAGTAATTTTTTTATCTAAAAGGGGAAAAAGTCATTCCAATAATAACAAAATGGTCTTTTGTTTTAAATGTCAGAAAAAAAAAATACTACTCAAGGTAAGTCAGATTTCATTTTCTCCTTCATAATGCTAGGAGACTAGATCTTAACATAAGCAGTGATCTACCATAATACAAGATAGCTAGCTGATGGCAAAAAATGAAAACCTCAGTGAAAGTAGCATTATTGAAACTTAGGTCTTATTTTCCACATAAACAGATGTTAAAAATAAAAACATTTTGGGGGTCCAAATCTCTTAACATACAGCAACTCAAGTGTTTTCCATGATATTTTCTTATACAGCAATTTACCCCCCTGGGCAAATTTGGGACAACTTCTACTTGAGCACTGAGGAAGACACACCACCCCCTACACAGCAGCCTTTCCAAAAATATTTCACCTGAATCTAATCATGATCAAATAATTAGCCACAAATGAGGAACAATCTACTAAACTGGTCTGTGCTTTTGAAAGTATCAGTGTCACGAAAAACATACTCTAGATTAGAGATGAAACAGACTGCCTGCAGTCTGTAGGTTCTTTTGCTATAAATGACAAAGAACAGAGGGGAATATTGAACACGAGTATTAGAAAAATTACGTTAATATTAAATTTCCTTGTGATAATTACATTATATTTATATAGGAGAATACACCTTTTCTTTGGAGATAATGCTCACGTATTTAGTAGTGTGCAGTTGTCCCAACCAACCCTCAAATGAGTCAGCCAAAAAAAAAAAGTGTTATAGGATGACAAACATTGTAAACACATCTGAATCTAGGAGAAAGACATAAAGGTGTTCAATTTATTATCCTTGCACATTTTTTTAAATAGGTTTTGAAATGTTTCTAACAGAAAAGGTGCGAAGGATAAGCAACTGTCAGGAAAATGAAGCAAAAGACCTTTAAGAATTCATATTTACAAGTCATCTTTCACCATGGTCTTAAAGAATACTGCACTGGAATGTTTGTGAAGAACTAACATTTCAAACCACGACTGTAGCCAGCAGAGGACTTCGCATCAAGAGGTCACACAGAAAAAACAAAATAAAACAAAAACTTATTTTACATTACAGGTAACACAGTTGTAAAACTCCTAACAGCAGGAACTATTTTTGTAACTTTGTTTATAACTCCCTAGTATTTTGTAGATAACAGAAAGCAAATCCCAACTAGCTAAAACACAGGATGAAGGTGGTGAGGCCTTATGCTCAAGCTGAAAAAGACTTACACCAAAGGCCAGCACTGCTGTTACCTTTCCTTGACAAAGTGGTTCATTGCAAACTGAAAATGTCCCCTGAAAAATACTGGGAAATTATGACTTCATTAAAATACTATGTGTACAATTATAACTTAGGAAACACACAAAATTCTAGACACCTGAAGAAAACTCTTACTACAAATAAAATGTACTTTTACTATTTTTATTTTTTAAGTACAGTTACCTTTGACAGATTCTTTTATTACAGCAACAAATTGAACCCAGAGAACATCAGGATCAATTTCAACCCAGCCAGCTTGAGGATAAAGATTTTCTACCTATTTGTGAAAAGAGAAGATTGAGTAAAAACAACATTAGATAAAACCAATAGCATCTGGGTCTTAAGATTATGGTTAAAGAACATGATTTCACTTATTACCGAATTCATTTTACTGTTAAAATGGAAAAAATATATATGGGGAAAAAAGAACTATAAATCAAAATAACAGTAATTATGCTATGAATTTAGAGATTTTAGCTGTATTTATTTATTATCTTTCTTATTGCTCACTTTATTTTCCAAGTTTTCCACAATAAAGATGTATTATACTTACAAAACGAAAAAAAGTCAGACTTTCGTTTATTTTTTTTACCTTATTAAAATATATTAATTTGGGATTATATTTTTGCTCTTCCAGATACACACAAGTTCCAAAAAGAAAATTACACACACACACACACACACACACACATATATATATTTGTGAACTCTAAAAAATATGCTGACAGGCGGGGAAGAAGATAGAAATTCAAATACCTTAACAGGTGGTAAGTTTCCCATTTTTCTTCTGGTATCCCTGTCCTGAACTCAAGGCAACTTAAAAATAAGAAAAGGATACTAGGTGCAGATGAAACTCTAGGAGAAACACTCACATTTTGGCTGATGCTAAGACAGAATATTAGAAACCCCCTCCCTTTTTTTTCTTCCTTTGCCTCTATACTCTGTACCTAGGCTATCCTATCCAGTGGTGGTGATGACAGCAATAACCATAAATACCTAAGTTACTGACAGATGTACAACTTTGTCTCCATCAGAAGAGCTGTAAAACCAAGTGATTAAGGTGAACCCCCAAGGCTTTTCTTCTCTGTGCTCTTGCTGACTTGTATCACCTGCTGACAGAGAAGTACCTAGAAGCTCCAGTTTTCTGACAAGAGGACCCAAAAGGGGAGGCTCAGGGACTAGGAAAGTAGCAGGAAGATCTCAGAGAGGGAGAGGCTTGGGGAAGCAACTGCAGTAAGTTCTGTATTAACTCCTAGGTTCACTTCAAAGCTGCACTTGTGGAAATATAATCCTATGGCATAACAGAGACTTTAAGAACAGAACTAAGGCACAGACCACACTACCCCGGTCCCAGACTGATCACTGGGTGGCATATACACAGGGCAGATTCAAATAGCACTACCAAGATTTTGAAAACAACTAACACTGAAGCCACATCCACAGAAGGCTGATCAGAATTTGTATCCTGAACCCACCTGTATTAACTGCCAAAAGAAAATAACAACATTCATCATAGGAATTACACAAGACCCAGTCTTATAATATGACATTCAAAATAGCCATGAAAACCATCTGAAATTACATGGCGTGTGAAGAATCAGAACAATTGCAACTTGCATGGTAAAAGATAGTCAGCAGATGTTAATGCCAAAATGGCAAAGTTCTGAGAAAGACTTTAAAGCTGCTTAGTATAAAATTGCTCCAAGTAGGGAAAATTCCTTTGGGGAAAAAATGAAAGTTTAAAAGCCTTAACAAAGACATAAAACAAACAAAAGAAAAAGAAATGAAAATTTCGAAATACAGTAACTAGGGGAGTAGGAGAAATGGAGAGATCTGGTCAAAGGTATAAACTTTAAGTTATCAGATGAATAAGCTCTGGAGAGCTAATGTACAGAATTATGACTATTGTTAATAATAATTTATTGTACCTGAAATTTGCCAAGAGTAGTTCCCAATTGTTATACACATGTATACTAAAACATAATGTTTTACAATGTCTCCTAAAAAAAAAATAGAAAAAAAAACATAATGTTATACACCTTTCTCACTAATTCCTCAATAAAGCTAGAAAAATCAATTAAAGAATCAAAACTAAAAACTTACTGGATGGGCTCAATAATAGAATAAAGAGAACAGAAGAAAGTCAATAAACTTGAAGATACAGCAACAGAAATGAACTAATATGAACAATAGAAAGAAAAGAAATTGGGGGAAAATGAACAAAGCCTCAGTGTTCTGTGGACAAGGGCAAAAGGTCTACTATTTATTCATGGGGGAGGAAATTGGAGGTGGAGGTGGGAGGGTAGGGCGGTGGGGGTTGGAGGGGGAAGAGAAGAGTTCATTGCAGGAAAAAACACTTAGGGTAATTAATAGTGCTAAAACAAAGTTCAGTGAAAGGTTTTAAAATTTAAAAGATTTGAAATCCATATTCTAGACACAAAAAAATAGAAAGAGGACAAATTCAAAGCATAACTCACTGTTTTGTTGTGTTTTGTTTTTGCATTACACATTATTAACCAAAGCTAACAACTACGTGGGTACCCTTTTGCCTGATCCCAAGTAAGAACTCAAGTCTAGAGTCAGGACACAGCTGGTCTTCTCCTGTGAAAAAGCTGAGCCTGTGAATATTGCTGTTCCTGTGTGTGGGAGGGGGGAAGGGCAGGGGAGGAATCAGCATTTGGAAGCTGCCATTTGCAAAGAAATTAGTGACCTCAAAGAATATCAATTCTGAGATTTGTGATGGTGCTAAAACTCTCAGTTTCCAAAAAAAGGCTCTAAATAGGTTAAATTATTTTTTAAGATTTTATTTATTTATGCATGGACGAAATGGAGTGTAGGCCAGAGATGTAGGGGAGTAAGAGGATTCAACAGAGACAGAGTGAGGAGCAGAATAGGTGGATCTACTGAAATACACTGCTGAAGGGAGCAGCAGGTGAGACAGGAGAGGTCTGATGCACTATGTGTGGCCAGGGATCCAACTCATGCCACAGTGGCTGGTGATAGCTTGATAGTACTGAGATAACATTAACCCTTACACCACTAGGAAGGCCTAAATAGGGTAAATTTTTACTAACTTCTCTGTTTTCCTTAATGCACAGATAGCATCAGAGAGATACCAATACATTAACCAGACCTCTTCCCTGATTTTCTTTGACTTCATAAAAATCCTTGAAATGTTTCATATAATCTCCTTGTGAATACATCAACTGTATTAGACTCACTGAGAAGCTCAGAATTTGGGCAGCCTGCCCAGAGCTATCTGGAGGCTGATCCTAGGCTCAAATCCTCAATCTTGATTCTTTAATAAACTAACTTATTTCTGTTTGTCTCAATTTGCTTAAGCCAACAACATCCAGATTCTTTGTAATTTAAATGCTAAAATCTAAAAACACAAAAAAACTAAAACAGTCAGACATATTACAAATATAGAACAATAATCCAAATGGATTTCTTATCAGAAGACTATCATGAGGGTGAGGAGGCAGTACTAAAAGAATTGTCATGCACAATTCTGTATCAAAATCCCAGCAGAATTTTTTGTGTAAATGTAGATATGATAAGTCTGAAAATTTATATTTTAGGCAAAAGGACTAAAATAGCCAAATAATGCTGAAAAGATGTAAAATTGGAAGAATCACACTACTCAGTCCCATGACTTAATAGACAGGCACAGTAATTAAAAGTGTGCTACTAGCATAAAAATAGACAAACAGATTAATGGAACAGAACAGAGCCCAGAAGTAGACCCACACAAATAAGAATAAGGATTTTTGAAAAATGAACAAGGCTGAATTGCCTCGGAGAAAAGACAGTTTTTTCAACATAGTTGGAATAACTAAACATCCATATACAAAAAAAAGAACCTCTATCTAAACCTCATCTCTTATACAAAAATTAACTCAAAATGGATCACAGACGGAAATATATAGTAAAACTATAAAATGTTGAGGAGAAAATCTTTTTCACTTGTGGGTAGTTGAAGAATTCTTAGACATGACAACAAAAACACAATTCCTAAAACAAACAAAAATGATAAATTGGATTTCATCAAAATTAAAAATGTTTGCTCTGCAAAAGACTATTAGGAAAATGAAAAGACAAAGTACAGATTGGTTTAAAATATCTGCAAATCACATATCCAACACAGGTTTGATAAGCCAGTAAATATAAAGAAATCTCAAAATTCAACAGTATGAAAACAAACAACCCAAATGAAAAATGGGGAAAAGTCTTGAACAGGCACTTCATCAAGGAAGATATATGGATGGCAAACATGCACATGGAAATATTCAACATTATTAGTCATTAAGTAAATACAAATGAAAAATATGGATTCTACTACATCTATTAGCATACCCAAAATAAAAAACACTAACAAAACAAAGTGTTGCTGAGAAAAAATGGAACTCTGTAAGTTTTTTCTACTTAATGTCTGGTTCCACTTATATGACATCCTCAAAAAGACAAATCTATGGTCATGGAAAATGAATCTGGGGTTACCAAAGGAAAGGCATGATTATGACAATGGAGGGGGAGCAAAAGGCAATTTTGGGGGTCACTACTATATATCTGCTAAAACTCATAGAACTTAATGACCAAAAAAATCAATTCTACTATCTGTTAACTTAAAAAATAAAATAAAGAAAAGGAACACATGGCTGAAATGTTAAAATGATGGCTTGAAGCTATGTTTTCTCTCCCAGTCCTCTCAAGACTCCACTTCAATAGAAACATTAATAATATTTACAGACAGGGAAAATGTGAAAAGAAAAAACCGACTCAGACCACATTTTAATAAACTGGACCAAACCAGGTCTTTAATGTGAATAGTGAATGTGTGGGTGATACACAGCTAAGCACAGAGGAGAAAACTGACACCTCACTACCCTCTCAAGTGATACCATATCTTTACACAACCTGTGGCAGAGATTCTAGGGTTTTTGAATCCTGAAAACCAGCAGAACCTCCAAAGGATGGGATACAGACAGGGCAGAACATAGGATGTTTCAGAGTCTTTACAAGGATTCCTAGTTTCCCTCCTCCAGCCGGATTACTATCCCTCCCTATCCTGGCCAAAAGTAAATTCACTTTCTGGAGACGGTGAAACAGAGCAGTTCTTTACCTGCAAATACCATATAGAGCCGAGTGGGGTAAGACATCACACTGAAAATATGAACAGGTAACCAGCCAAAGATCACAATTTAAGGAAAATCTGTATCATGTAAGAAAAGGTCAAAAATAAAGAGAAAAAGGAACTAAGGAAACAGTAACGATGTAAGGAGCATGATAGTGACACCGGGTGACACGGAAAAAGAATCTCTTATTCCCCAGTGAACTCATCAGAAACAGATTTAACATAATCAGTTCCCCTCTAACCATTATTTCTATTTCTTCTATGCAAGACTTCCATGACCACAGACTATAAGGGCACAAATAAAATCAACATTTGCTCATGCTGAAAAAAAAAATCAGTATGGATGCCACTGCCTCAACAGTATCCTACAAACATGCCCCCCCCACTCCACTAACATGGGTAGCTCACCATTTCCAAACATGTGACGATGAAATCTGCTCCTCTACCAAAGGAAGATCAAACCAAAGTTAGATCAAGAACAAAACCATATGCCTGTTGGCCATTTGCATTTCCTCTTCAGAGAAGTTTCTTTTTAGCTCTTCTGCCCATTTTTTGACTGGATTATTTTTGTTGTTGTTGTTGAGTCTCATCAGCTCTTTGCAGATTTTTGTGATCAGTCCTTTATCATTAGTGTTGTGTGCAAAAATGTTCTCCCAGTCGGTGGGGTTTCTCTTTGTTTTTGTTATTGTCTCTTTTGCTGTGCAGAAGCTCTTTAATTTGATGTAGTCCCAGCTGTTTATCTTTGCCTTCACTATCACTGCTTTGGGTGATGTGTCTGTAAAGATGTCTTTGACGTGCATATCCCGTAGTGTTTCGCCTATATTTCCTTCTATGTATTTTATGGTTTCAGGTCTTATGTCAACATCACTTGTAATAGGGAAATGCAAATCAAAACTACCATGAGATACCATCTTACACCAGTGAGAATGGCACATATTAAAAAAACTAGCAACAAATGTAGGCGAGGTTGTGGAGAAAAAGGAACTCTACTGCACTATTGGTGGGAATGCAAACTGGTCCAACCACTATGGAGAACTGTGTGGAGATTTCTGGACCTACTAAACATAGAGCTTCCATATGATCCAGCAATTCCACTCCTAGGTATTTACCCAAAGGACACAGAAACATCAATTCCAAAGAGCACCTGCACCCCTATGTTTATAGCAGCACTGTTTACAATAGCTAAGCTTTGGAAACAACCCAAATGCCCAAAAATAGATGACTGGATCAAGAAGATGTGGTACATATACACCATGGAATATTACTCAGCAATCAAAAAAGATAAACACATGCAATTTGCAGCAACATGGATGGCGCTGGAAGGGATCATGCTCAGCGAAATAAGCCAGAAAGAAAAAGAAAAATACTGGATGGTCTTACTCATAGCAGGAATCTAGAAAACTTAAATAAGGGACCAGGAAAATGAATAAGAAAGTGAAAATCAAAATCAACAAAAAACTATGAACCAGAGACACTCTATGTGGAGTGGGGGGCAGGGAGGGGAGGGATTGGGGTCAAAATAAGGGGGTTGCAATTGTATGGGGAATATAAAAATAAAATTTATTTAAAAAAAAAAAAAGAGGGAAAAAAAAAGAGAAAAAAAAAAAGAGAGAAAAAAAAAAAAAGAACAAAATCAGGGCCTCCCTGGTGGCGCAAGGGCTTAAGCACCGCATTATGAAGCAATCCACAGCCTCAGCAGCAAGAGTTCGATCCCCGGCCGGCCAGGGAGCAACCCACATTGCGCAGCAGACCTCTCCTGTCTCACCCGCTGCTCCCCTCAACAGTGTATTTCTGTCCTTCTGTCCGTTCTGCTCCCTATTCTATCTCTGATGAATCCTCTCACCCCGCATCTCTGGCCTGTACCTCAGCTCTTGTATGCATAAACAAATCTTTAAAAAAAAAAAAAAAAAAGAACAAAATCAAAGTTAAGGAGGAACTGTTTTGTTGATTTAAAACAAAAGACAACAGGGCCTCCCCGGTGGCGCAGCAGTTGAGTGCTGGGTTGGGAAGCTGCCCGCAGCCTCTGCAGCGCTGGTTCGATCCCTGGCTGCTCCCCGGCCACTGGAGGAGGGTCCCACATGGCGTGCAGACCTCTCCTGCTGCCCACTGCTCCCCTCAGCAGTGTACTTTGGTCCTTCTGCCTGCTCTGCTCCCTGCTCTGGCTCTGGTGAATTCTCTCACCCTCCCATGCTTCTGACTGTACCCAGTGCTTGTATAAATAAATAAATCTTTTAAAAAAAATTATAAAAAAAACTATAAAAAAATTGAAAAAAAAAACAACAAAAGACAACAACAGCCAGATTTTAAAAAGAAAGTACAGATGGCATATGCTATTGGAGATACCACCACTTTCTATGGAGTGACCTTTCTGATCTGTTTTTCCAATCAAAATGCTTTCATTTTTGATGGTTTCTCACAAAAGTCTTGTTGGTCTACATTGATACTTAGCACCTGGTTTATTACATCCATTTTTAAAAACTAAAAATATCAAATATTCACAATCAGGGGTTCCAAGTCTCAATACTATTCCAATTGTGACCCCAATATTTGAGAATTCATAGGAAGATTGTAATACAAATTATAGATGTATTTTTGCTATTAAAAAGCACCATAAGAAATAACACTGAAGTTTTCCTAGAAGCCTCCTGGCCTTCTAATGTAAAGGTTCATGTTTGATATTTCAATTTTAACTAAAGACCAACACAGTCTATTTTTTCTTGTTTCTACAAGGTGATCTCTTCAGTTCTTCTATTTCTCTCTCTCTCTTTTTTTTTTTTTAAGATTTATTTATTTAATACAAGAACCAAGGTACAGGCCAGATGTACGGGATGGTGAGAGGATTCACCAGAGACAGAGTGAGGAGCAGAACAGGCAGACTGACGAAATACACTGCTGAGGGGAGCAGCGGGCACGGCAGGAGAGATCTGCCTCACCATGTGGGACTCTCGCCTGTCGCCTGTCGGCAGGGATAGAATAGGTGCTACAGAGGCAGTGGACAGCTTCACAGCATGGCTGTCAACCACCTGCGCTACCAGGGGAGGCCCTCTTTTTTCTCTTTTAAAGCTATCTATTTGCCAGAATCAACCAAGTCCTACACTAAGAGGTTTGGGTTTCTATTATATATTCTTTTCCTCATAATATTAGCAGAGTTGTGATTTTTCACTTGAGGGAACAAGCTACACCTCTAATTCACAGAGTCCCATGAAGCAAACGGAATTCTTAAACTTTGATGAAATGCAGTCATTATTTATTTTGTACCTATGAAGTAATAAACAAGGTGCTAAGTATCAGCATAGGCCTACAAGACTCTTTCCCAAATATCCCAAATTAGCTACAGTAAAGGATCAATTGTTGGTTTTTTCTTATTTCTAACTCATTGTGGACCAAACAATATTTTAAGATGTAATTAAAACAAAACTACATACAAGTAAAATTCCAAATGTTTTAAGATAAGCAGACATGAAATTACTCTGCCAAATTGCTACACATATTTCTAAACATTTAGTTGCTATATCTTATCTAGAGCAGCCCACCTATCATACTTTAAGTAACACTGCTTTAAACTCCGCTACTAGTTTGAAGCACTGCTATATGCTCCTTTATCTAAGATGGTCCTTCATCCTTTGAGGACAGGGACACTTTGCATTTTCATTTGCTCATATAACTTTCCAGTTATCTTCTCCACAGTTCAGTGTCTAAATAAACCATTCTAGTCTCCTGCTACTCACAGCAATCATGATTCATCTTTGAGATTCTTCCCTGATCTATATAAAAAAGAATGATTCTCTCCAAATAACACTGTATTTGAAACTTTGTATCTGCTAGCAATTTCTGTTTCCTTTGGTTCCAACACCTCAGTTCCTTTCAAAAAAAAAAAAAAAAATCACTGCCTAAAGCAAAAGTACTTTGTGTCTAGAATTACAAGGGAGTCTGTGAAAAGTGTCACTGTGTTGTGACAGACTCATAAAAAGATAAGGAGCACACAGTCACTGAAGGACTTTTCACCTGTCCTTACAGGGTGGGGTATGGATGGGGTGTGTGGGCTGTGTTCCTGCACAGGTTCACAACTCAAGGTCTTGGTCCTGAGGCCTGAATGAAGTGTGCTGTTTCCTGACAACAAATACTCATCACAGTCATTACTTATTTTCATCCTGGGTAAGACCTGATCCTAGACAACTGCTGCCACTGAAAAACACTCCTAAGGAGGTGGGGATTGAGAAATCCAAGAGACCAGTGCTGCTGGGAATGGTTCAGGTTAATAATTGCTACTGTTCTGGCCACCACTACTCCCATGAAAGATGTTAGTATTGGGAAGAAGATTAAGTAAGAACACCAAGTAAATAACCATTATTTTAGAGGCGCTGGCAATTGTGTAGAAATCAACACTTCATTAAATGAGAACAGAAGAGTAACAAACAATGTGCTGGGTGCTATCCCAATTCAAAACTTCACTAAAACAAAAACTAATGACTTGGTAAGTTCCTCAAAAGGCAAAAAATATTTTCATGAATTCTCAAAGATGGGAAGAGAGAAACTAATGACAACCTAGTCTGCAAAACCTGCCCAATATCTCTCCTGCGTATATGGAAATCAACTGCTCATGTGAGGAGCCAGCGCTTTGAGAGTAGTTAATGATGACAATCGAAGAAAGGACAAAAGAAACAAATTTAAGTTTTATCAAGACTTGAAAAATTGCAGAAAGACGGGTTGGAAGTCGATCAAGAAAGGGGCAGAAAAAAACAAGGCGGTCACGGAGCACCCTCGGGCTGGATGAGCGCAGCCTTCCCAGCCCTGCCCTGCCCTGCCAAGTCACCTCAGTCCCAGGCAGGAGAGGCCGGCGAGGAGAGCCCAGGTGAGAGGATGCAGAGGAGCGGCCCGAGTCACCTACCCGCCGCCTCTCCTCCCGGTCTGGACTGGAAGGGAGCGCGGGGTTCACCCCGCCGGGAGAGGGAAAGCGGGATCTGGCCAGACGCGCAGCCCCGGGCCCGTCAGCGCGGCAGGGGGGCCCGTCCCGGCCGGCGGAGGCGCCCCTGCCCCTCGCCCCCAGGCGACCCGACCCCGGGTCCTCGGCGCGACCCTGCCCGGCGGCCCCGACGCCCGCTCCCGATTACCTTCCGCGCGCTGGAGCCGCAGATCCGCGCCGCGCGGTCATAGACGTGGCAGCGGATCACCGAGCTGCCCACGTCCAGCCCCAGCACGAAGCCGGGGTGCGGCGGGTGCCAGGAGCTCTGCTTGGGGTGGCCCCGCCGCCGGACGTCAGGCAGCTCCGACATCCCGACCCCGCCAGCTCCTCGGCCGCAGCAGCGGACCCAGCGCGCTGGAAACGCTCGCACTTCAGAGGCGGAGCTCGCCCCCCGGCCGCCGCCCCCGGCCCGCCCCTTCCGCGAGTTCCGGGGGCGGCCCGCCCCGACGCTAGCCCCGCCCCGACGCTAGCCCCGCCCCGACGCTAGCCCCGCCCCGACGCCGTGACGTCAGGGGCGCGGGGAAGCTGCCGAGGCGCGCGCCCGGGTCGGGCGGCCGCGGGCGGCGCGCGGCGGTGGTTGCCGGGGCGCGCGAGCGCGGAGGCCCCGGCGCTCCGCGGGCGCCTCCTTTTAGCCTTGGGTTGGCCCCTGGTTTTCATGATTTCCCGGTTACTCCAAGCGCCCCTGAGCTAGTGCTGCGTTTCGTTGCACCGTACTTACATTTAGGAAATTTCTATGAAAGATAGAGTGACGCGGAAGATAAAGTTTCCTCCCCAGGATTTCTCGCCCCAGAAAATAGGGTAAAGTGTGCGCACTCGAAACGGGTAAGGGAAGAGTAATCGCGAGTAAAACCTTCCCTAGCACTCGCTGGGGCGGCTGCTCGGACCGTCTGGCTCCACACCGAGGGTTGCCCCTTCAGGAATCTGAGAACGTCTCAAATGCCCTTTGCGCTTCACTGCTGCCGACGGGGCACGAGCTCTCCCAGGCGCTGTTCCCTCCCCTGCCGCCCCCCTTCCCAAATAAAAAGGTAGTAAGGAGGCTTGTAGAAATTTGGAGGGTCCTGCAATTC